AATAGACAAAGAGTCTGATAAATAAGCTGTATAAAATAAAAACACATTATGTGTCACTTTTACCATTCATATATAGATTGACAAATGAAGTTTGTCTCTTTCACCTTCCCCTGTTGTACCATATATGTGCACTGGAGAATACTTTCGTACACATAAATATTCCTGTAAAATTTATATAGCACAAATAGGTTGAAATATATATTTAAGTTAAGTAAATAGGCAGAGTTGTTACAGGCAGTCTTAGAACTACATTGTGTTTGGTAATTCAGAAGTTAGTAATTCCTATTTTCCACTGGCAAATTACCGGCCGCTCATCTTCACACACTATAATTCCGGGTAGCTCACAGCAGCAGCGAAGACGTGCAAGAGTCCATTTACAACGACCGACCAAGCACAAGAAAGGTTGCTTCGTCTCGTGATGTAAACCGACTGAGGCAATTTCTAATCCACCTAAAGACCGGGGAGAAACAATCTCTACCCCCGCACGGCCTTTCCAAGCGACGCTCTCGCCCGCAGGACTCTCCCTCGCTCCCCGTCCGAATTAGGTCAGGGAAAACGGCCACCCAGGAAAGCTGAAAAGCCGCTTTTTCACGACTCCTGAGGCTAAAGGAGACGCTCGACCGCCCCCCTCAGGGGAACGGGCCCCCCCCCCCCCCCGCTCACCCAGGAGGCGCGCGCGCTTCCGGCCACGCCACAGCCTCCATAGAAGGCCGGCTCCACCCACGCCCTGCTGTTGCCTTGACGACAGCATCTACGCACTCCTGCCCCCCCCCCCCCCCCATTTTGCGCCCGGCCAATGGGAAAGGAGGGGATGAGACCGAGGAGGGGGAGCGGGGAGTCCCCCCCCCACCTCAGGCCCCCTGCCCACCTGTAGTAGCACCAGGAAGGCGGCGAGCTTCTTCTGCTGGGGCCCGAACTCCCCCACCAGCCCAAAAGCCTCATCGAGATCCATGGCTCCGTCGGGTCACCCAGCTGCATCCCCGTCACAGTCCCGCTAAAGCGAACGGCGGCCTCTGGAGCGCTTGAGCTCGCTGCTCCGCTCCACTCCCGTCGCTTTTCCGGAGGTGGTGAGGTGGCGGCTGAAAGTAGCGGTCACAGCGGCCTCTGCCGGCTGCTTGTGGGCAAAACAACGGCCGGTCGCCGGGCGGGCGGGGCTAGCGTTCGGAGCACGCGGAGGGTTCCGCTTCGCGCTTGCGCAGAACGCGCGGTTGGAAGAGGGAACTTGGCTGTTTTTTTCGGTTACGCGGCCTCGTGATCGGAAGCGGGTTGTTTGGTGGGCGTCTTTTATTTCCAAGGAAAGCTCAGGTGTTTATAAATGCAAAATACGCACAAAAAAGATCTAGTCTAGACCAGGAGTTTCCCACCTTAACAACTTGAAGATGCGGACTTCAACTCCCAGAATTCCTCAGCCAAGCAAGCTGGCTGAGGAATTTTGGGAGTTGAAGTCCACAAGTCTTCAAGTAGCCAAGGTGGGAGACCCCGGTCTAGATAGCCCTTCAGTACATCTAATTCACTGTACTTGGCAAGTTTTAAGACTTTAAATCCCCGAATTCCCCACCAGGGAGATGGGTGAGCGGCAAAACAGAGGTCCGCTGGCAGAATCCCCGGTCTGTCCCAATTGCCCAAGAAACAAACATCCACAATCAGACAAGAAGCTTTGAGAGGAAGATGGTGTCCCAACAGAACAAGGACTAACTCCTACTTTACTCACCCAGGTCTCTTGTTGTTTCCCATGTCAGCATTTCTAATACACTTTAGTAAGAATATGCCATATGCATTTGAACTAGAGATATGTAGGATTTAATCAAATTTTCATTTTCTCTGTGAAGGGAAACCTCTCGAGAGCAGAGCTGAGCCACTAAGCTCCTAGGTGGCCAGTAACACCAATGAGGCCTGGAGGTGTTGCGATTATTTTTGGCAAATCATTAAAAGTTTAATCATTTGCCAGCATGATTTACAAGTATTTAGGATAGCTACAATAAACAATAAATCTTGGAAAGACACACCATATGGGAACATCAGTAGAAAAATTAACCAGAATATTATTTTCACAAGAATCAAGTCATGTCTTTTGAGCTTCCTCTACCAGTTTAGTATTGCTTTTAAACATAAAAAAAAAAATTCTAAACATTTAAAACAGCACACTGGAAAATGAATAATCTAGTTCCACTTTTTGTTTTTCCATTCAGTTACGATGGATTCTCAGAGGCTGTCTGTTACAAGGCCTGCAGTTTTCTTGGCAAAGTGTCTCAAGTGGTTTGCCATTCCTCCTTCCTAGGGACTGGCCCAAGGTTACCCAGCTAACTTTGTGCCCAAGGCTAGACTAAACTAGGACTCAATGGTCTCCCAGTTTCCTTATCCACTGCACCAAACAGCTCCCACTTTAGTTCCACTATAAATATATGCAAGAGTCCTGAATTACAGCTGGAGAGGCATGTGTGACATTTTAAAAATTGAATTCTATTTCCCATCATGCCTAATCAGCAATCAATAAAAGACTGAAGAATTATAATTTATAATCTAACAAATTGGATTATATATTGTAACATGTTGTCCTAGTGCTTCCCCTGGTTTAGCAAGACAACATGTTAGATTTCTTCTTTCTTGATGAGAAGCACCTAGTCCAGTCAAACTGGTTTTAGAGCTGTGCAGAACTTTAGAACAATGGCCCCCAACCTTTTGGGCACCAGGGACTGGTTCCTTGGAAAGGTTTTTCCGTGGCCTGGTGGGGGTGTGGTTTTGCATTCTGCTTGCAATCTGCAGCCTGTTTCTGGCATGCCACAGCCTGGTGCCGGTCTGTGGCGCGCGGGACCCCGGCTTTAGAGCACAGAAAGCAGGAAATGAACACAGAAAAGTTGATTGTAGAGATTTGCCCAGTTTTTTTTAAACCCTACCTATTGTCTGCAACCAAATCTTCTGAAAGGTTGGAGATATTTGCAAGGTAACACACAATAAATTATTTGCTCTCAGATCATGAAGCTTGAATGTTATATTTAAAATGCATTTTTTTAAAAATAAATTACCTTTGTAGCATTAATGAGCAACCTCTAAAAGCAAAGATCCAAGCTGAGAAGTTAAACTATTTCAGCTAATAAAAATCAAGAGAAAATAAACAAAAATTAAGGAATTGTTCATTTTCATCCTAAAGAGTTATGCTGGAAATTAGTTGATTTCAATCTAATTTACTCCCAAACTGTTAAGGGAACCAAAATTCTTAATCCCCATTGATCCTAGCTTGAGTTCATTGAAGTAAGGATGAGATACAAATGTAGTACAGAATATCATTATACAGTATGTATGACCTGAATGGAACTGACTTGGTAGAAACCAATTTATCTGTTACTAACTACCGAATTCTATTATAAACAGTACAAGAAAAGGTTATTAAAGGCAAAACAAATTCTAAACTTACAAAAGGAAATAGGACAAACCATTTAATGGCAAAAAAGACTGAAATAGAACAAGGTTTGTGATACCTTAAAAAGTGATTTACAAAAGCAAATAATGCAATTACAAGGCAATTTTATGTAGAGTAATCTTTGACTCATTAGCACAGTTGGGACAAGAATTTTAAGTCAGTGCAAGTCATCACATCACCAGCCCCAATTTTATGACAATTTCTATTGGAGTTGGCAAAGTGAATCAGTTGTTCGTTAAGCAAGTACAACTTCCCCAGGTCACATTTTTTAAATCAAACACTGGCTGGGAAGGTTGCAAATTGCAGTTGTGACAGCTGCAACTGGTCATAAATTCAAGCAAGTGGTTGATGGTCCTAAGTGTGAAGACAAGTCAGACATAACTTTTTCTGAGACCATTGTTACTTTGAAAACTAATTAAATAAATGATCGTAAATCAAGGACTATCTGTACTTTTTTTTAGAAGTTCTTTTGTCTTCAGTAAAAATTATTCCTGGGTAAGCATGTGAAATTCAAACTTCAACCTTTTAAAAATTCCAATTTGTCATTATTCTTACTGTGATTAAATGTTATTAGTTTATTTACCACTATTAGTTTGCATTACATAGAAATGAGACAAGACAAGCCCATTGGAAAATATTCATTTTATTAATACTTTTAAAATATAAGCCTTCGTTTGCATCTTCAAAAATAGCAATTATGACGATACAGTAGTATCAGTACAAAAGTTTAGAAAAAGACATATCTTAGTACTACAAATACATAAACAAGTTTACAATCTATTACAGATAGAAAAGTTAGCTTTAGACTTTAAAACTATGAATCTGAATATTGAAATTGCATTTGTTAAAAGTTATTAAACAGAAGTCTATTGTTCCCTTTGCATATTTTTTGCATAATGCTTGCTAGTACATTGACCTTGTGAAGCCCCTGTATCTTGGTTAAAGCAGGTAAATCAGTATGGTAGAACTATTACATTATATTTTAGAATTTATCTTGCCATGAAGTTAAAAATAAGTTGGATGGTAGTCACAATGGCATTTAGTTCAATGAAATATACCTATTTTTAATATTATGCTACTTGTAGTTTCATGGAAAGTCCTGAGTCTTTTGATGCCTCAATGCCTATGTTGTGGGAATTTGCAGAGCAAGAGATTTCCTTAAGATGCACCCATATTAAAAAGGTTTCTACTTTATACATTACTTGGGGGGAGGAGCACCAAAGTGAGTCCTAAGTGAATTCCAGACATTGGGGGTTACAATGCTCATTATCCCTGAATATTGGCCATGCAGGCTAGAACTACTCAGAACTAGCGACAGAAATTTAAGTACCTACTCTGGCAACACCAGTTATATGAAAAGTGGGCAATCTGCAGGCTACCCTCTGCTCCATTTTCAGTTCATATTAAGGAGTTAATAATTATCTTGTCATTTAAGACTGATATTTAAAGAAACTACTACACTATTGAAAACTCACATACCCACAGAAACAGATTTTTTTTTAAAAAAATGGATGGAGTTAAGTAACAAATTTTCAGCTTTTAACACTTTACAAGTAAATGCAAAATGCTCACAAAATATAGCCCTGACAACATAAAACACCCATGCCTCTCTGGCTTCTAGAGAGGAAACACTCTTTATTCCCTGAAGCTTCTGAAGTATCTTATACAGTAACATGGATAGCAAGATGACAAGACCTTGATCATTTTTTTAAAGCCTAAAATGCCAACTTAATAATTATTTAAATCTGGTCTGATCTGGTGGAAGAGGCAAGTTAGGATGACTATTTGTCTGACTTAGTACTGTGACCTTTTCTATATAAAGTGACAAATGTCTTTAAAGGAAACATGCAACTAAGATGAATATTCTCTTTCTTATCTAATATAAAGTTTACCAATCATAGGTCTAGAGTAAGGAAAAACTTGTGAAAGATAAATGCTAGGACATATTGAGTCTATTGTATGCCTTTTAATCACATTCTATTCTTCCTGTACCCAACATAACACTAATAAATACAATGAAATGTAAAAGCAGGCTCTCTTTCTGAGATAAAATCTATTTCTGATGCCCAAAATAATACAGAAACTATAATTTACTTTCTTATATTGGATAGACCTCCAGGATTCCACACTGAATTGTTAGCTCTTCTCCAAAGAACACTATATATATATTGCCTGGTATTTTTTGTAAATTTCTTTTTAATCCAATCTTTTTAATCCAATCTTCCTTTGAGATTTATTTACCTTTCCTTAAAGCCTAGTTTCAAGTGAAAAAAAATCCATTTTTTCAAGCATTCTTTTTAAAATGTTGCTAGGATTAATAGCTATGATAAGCCTAAAACTATTGATCTCATTTCATTAATTGTTAAATACTATTTAAAAAGTACTTGACATGATTTTTACATCCTGATGCAATACTAAAGATATGAAGACTTTCTTGACCAGCAAAGCAAAATCATCTTTCAAGAAACTAGCAAAGCGCAATGTTTTCCAAACTACCAATTCAAAACCAGACTTTTAAATACATGCATGGCTTTAAAAGAATTTCAGATTTTGTTGTGAGAAAAGGATGAAACAAGCAGTCAATGCCATCTGCACAGAGAGGCTTTGACTAGCCTACTAGTCGAACAATGGAGGTACTCTAGTTTTCTCCTATCTCTCTTACAATATCTAAGCACAGCCCAAATATGAATCCTTCTGCTTTGATGTAGATAAGCCACAGTCACCAAAACAACACTTAAAAAAACACACAAAATGTAAGATTTCTTGAAAACACCTACAAAATTCAATTTTTTTTGCAATTTTTTTTTGTGTGTGCAAAAGTGCTGGTTAAATGGTAGTTTTCATATTAAATTTGTTCAATACATGATAAAACATATCTGACTGCAGAATCTGATGTTTTTTGTCCAACATATTCCTATTCCTTTTTACACATAATAGGCAAACTGAATTCAATTTCAAATGATATCTTTGAAATCCTTTAACCTATTTCAGTACACTCATAAGTAGTAGTTTAAAGATATTAATTAGTAGAACAATATTTTGCATACAGAAGTTTCAAGCTTCAATTCTTGTCATCTACAAGGAATGGTGTAAGATAGTTTGCATAAAAATCTGGACAGCAGATCCCTGCTGGTGCAGAACTTATTTGGATAGATGGATGGATGGATGGATGGATGGAAGGGAGGGAGGGAGGGAGGAAGGAAGGAAGGAATATAAATTGCTGAGTGTACAGAAACACTACTATGATTTTCATCATCAGCTATGCTAAATGCACGGCCATCTCAAACCATTACAGTAAACAATAGAAAAGCTGCATAGAAACAAACGAACCCAACAAAAATGTCTTCATTTCACAGGGCATTGAGAGGAATTCCTCAAAGAAAATGGCTGGTTTTATGAGGTGGTGAACCCTTTTCCATGATCTTAAATAACTCTTTCAGAGGATTACTTGCAAAATATGCCCTGTGTTCTTCAATTTTTCACGCTCTCGACTTGAGAAACTTAAAAATACAATGTCTTCAACAACAAGATGCCCAATATAGTACAGAAATTCTACAGATGTGTAATTTTTATTAAGCACTGGACATCAGCTAACATTTAAAATACTCAGCTATTGAAGCACAATTAAGAATCTGTCATGAAATTATTTAATTCATGAAGCACAGAAATCTAAAGAGCTACCCATATATTCTCAAAAGTTTCATTTAGTAAAAATTGGCTAAATATGTTTCTCTCTTAAAAGAAAAAATATATAATTTAATTTTTGGTATTTGTGAAACCAAAGCATAACATGCATCCAGGTGGTCTTTTCCTTTCTCTTGTGTAACTGAAATAAAGCCGTGTGTTGAGAATAGGAATCCATAAATGCCAACTGTTTCTCAGAGAATGGGAAGAGGACACAGGATCAGAACACAGCAGAAAACTATTAGTACAGATGTTTGCTTTTAGCTGAACTCTGTAGATTAGAAGTATACTTGTGGCCGTCTCTTCACTTTGTATTTTAGCGAGCCATATCGCAGCTGGAACAAATAAAGAATATTGTAAAAGATTTCAAGATACAACAATACAATTTCTAATACAAAAAAAATCTGATGTTGGTTGCTATTTCCTAATGGGGAGGGGAGGAAATGGCATCCAACATGTGGATATGAGTAAAGACCTATAACAGAACGCAATCCACTTCACATCAGCAGGCAGTTCACCAAAATGACTAATACCGTAGGCACAGATATAAGGGGGTATAAGTAATAACCTATGAAGCCCCATGTGTTCTTCTGTTTTCTTTATTTTGCTGTCCAAGGCTAGTGTTATAGTTAGTCTCAACTTACAACAATTGAACCTGGGATTACCATTGTAAGTCATAGCTGTCATTAAGCAGGGCAACAGTGTGATCGCTCAATGACCACAATCCTGGCTATCACAGTTGTAGTTGCTAGGCAATCAAGTGAGTCATTAGGATGTGTGAAGGGTTCCTTAGGAGTGGGAAAGGCCCTGGGAGGTCTGGCACAGGCTCAGGCCTGCACTCTTGTTTCAGGCGCAGGACCCTAGAGCACCTCCATCTCACATATTGCTTGCACCAGGACCTCCCACCACCAGCCGAGGCACCAGCTTACCTCCTCACCAGATCCCATAGTTTTGGGTCTCCTCCCCTCCTCATCACATCTTCCACTTACCTCTTCCAAACATCGCCTCTCTGAAAGAGCAGCCAGTCAATCGACAAGTGACCTTCCCTCAGAGGCCACTTTGTACCATTCTGGAAACAGACACCATTCGGACAATCTATCAGAAGAGCCAAGTTTCTCAAAGTGTGTGATTTGGAAAATTGCACCCTTTGAGAGAGAACTAGAATGACACTTGCTTCCAGAATGTCACAAGGCAGCCTCTGTAGGAAGGCTGCGGGTCGCATTATTGGGGCACTAGTTCAGAAAGGCAGTCTTGTCAGATCTGTGTATCTGCCATTCTTCATGAAAGAAGAAGGAGGGGAGGGAAGTTGGTATGATGAAATCCTTTTGATGTAACCTGAATATATTAAAACTTACATTAAATTTGTATAACCTACACATGGATAAAACTGAGGGACGGAAACCAGATTCCCCCGGAAACCTGTCACCTCTGGAAGAGACAGCCAGGGGATGCAGAGACCATAAAAATCCCAGCAGGGAGACGTGTCCTGGGAAACTCTGGAAAAGATCGTTCTCAAAAGAGGGAAGGGGGGGAATTAACGTGTTGGCTCTTTGTTTCACAAAATACACATCAAGGTAAGGGGAGGGGTTTTAAACTCCCTCATCTATCACTGCATGCCTGAGAGACCTTAGACGCTGCTTTTAATCCCTTCGTGAATTGTCTGGTTTCAGAAGCTCCTTCTTGTCAATTGAATGGGAAAAGTTCCGTAGCCTGGCACAGTCTTTGGAAGAGGCAAGGGGAGCAAAGAGATGGAGTGGGAAGGAGCCCCAAGCTCTCTGGGACCCAGTGGAGCAGAATGGGAGAGAAGAAAGGCGGGTGGGGTGCATTGCAGTATCCTTGCGATTGGTCGTAAGAAAGGATGGATTGCCAAGCACCCCTATTTTCATCAGGTGACCACTGAGGTATGGCAACGATGCAAATTTTGAGTTGCAGGTTATATGTCTGTTTAGTACTATCTTAATTTTGAATGGTAGCTAGAGGAATGGCCATATGTTAAGGGGTACCTATATAGAAAAATAAGTATAAAAATTGGAGCTATCCCTTGGTTTCCACTGAGTTAAAAATAGAACAGGACCCAAAAGAACCACGTCCCCTTACTCTTTTTCTATTCCTAGGCAAAATAGTTTTAAAGTTTTTATTGTTCCACGTCTTTTAATTATATCTTCTTGTTTTTGTTTTGATATACTGGCTTTTAGGTATCTTTTAAAAAAAACACCTGTGCATAATGCAATACTCTCAATTTCCGCGACAGCTTGCCTAGAATAGAATAAGAATGTATAGGAAAGTTGCAGAAAAATCATCGGAACTGTATGACTCCAGCAAAGTCATGTATGAGGGTAACTAACTCATGAATCAAAATCACAAATGACTGACACCAAATTATATGACAGAATAGAAAATACTGAAATTATTGCTAACAAAAATACCACAAGAGCCAATGAAGCACTAACTATAAATTTGCCCTTTCAAATCTCTTCTTTTTTTTTCTTTTTGGTAACTCTTCAAACAAAATATGTGAGTAAAGAAGTGAGCAACATTATTAATGAAAGACATTCCCCAAGATGACATGGGCACCAATAATCTTCATATAAGGACTAGTTTTTGCACATTTAAGTGAACATTCAAATATAACCACAAATGCTTATTTACTTTTACAAGAAGAAATAGCGTGCAATCTTGGTTCTCCCTCTTACCTCCAACAAGCTTTTTTTTCCCCCTAAATCAAACCAGTCTTTGCTACTTAATTTGAACAGATCAGGATCAAATTCTGGTTTGCAGTTTTCTTGCATTGAGATTCAGAAAAGTTAAGCTTCTGCTCTTAAAATGTTTTCAATAAAAATATTTAATGATTTCCACCTTTTCACTTATAGCATTTCATACTGTTAAGAACAATTTACTTGCCTCTTTGCGTCCTTTTATCGTCTTTACAGATTTCATACTTTGTGTTCGACGGAGACCTCTTTGAGCAAACATCTCATCTTCTGAATATGTCCCTTCCCTCTCTTCATCTGTTTTATCATCTTCAGAATCCCTTTTTATTGGAATACCATAACCTGAGGGGTAAAATCAAAATTCAAAATACTGTTTTACCACTGATTGATCATGTCCTACTTTAAAAAAGAACCCTCAAATGCTTAATGCTTCATATTTAAGGCTTACCAATGTTTAAGAAAATGAGGCAATTTCCTCCCTCCAAAATGATAGCTGTACAAAATTTGTAACTAATCTATCTATATTTTTTCTTTTAATGACCCCGTAATACCTTGCAACGGGGTGGAGTTGGGGCAACTGAATGGAACTGAGTGTTTGCTGGCCAGATGCCCTTCCTGTCGCCAATGCAGAGTTCACAACTGACGTTTACCCATTGTGCCCAGGCAGAGAAATACCTGTCGCTACCTAAGATCAGGGGTGGGTTTCTACCGGTTCTGTCCACCTCTGTAGAACCGGTAGCTCTGAAGAGCAGCAGACATAGAACCGGGCTCTTACCTGATCTTTATTTCCCAATTTTTCAACAAGCTGCCGAACGAGGGACAGCTGCAGTTAGAAAAGCAGGAAAAGAGGGCTGTTTCAAAGGCTGCTTCTCTGCAGGCAGGGGATGATGATGATTTACAGGCGCACGGCTCGCAGCCTGCAGGGAAGCTTGTAAATCCAGGACCGGTAGTTAACCCTGCCGTATCCTACCCCTGCCTAAGATTGAACTCACAGCCTCCTGATTGTGAGGTGAGAGCTCCACATCTGGGCCACTGCCTCACTCGTTGTAGCTAATCCATATGCCTGAAGGTAAATGCAGCACTAAAAAGACCCAGAAAACACTTGTTTTCATCCATACCTGTGATGGTAAATGATCTGGCCAAAGTGAAAACAAAGGAAAACTGGTTTGTGTAAATTAAGTAGATGGGAAGAATCCATGAAGGAACGGAGATAAGAACCTCTGTGTGCGTCTTTGCATAGGGTTACATTACTCATTTAGAAAAACTCTTTGAAGCGATAGTATCAATTCCATGCCTATACTCCAAGCTAATGTTTTTGGAGGTAGGCAGTTTAAAAGCGGGGCCTACAAAAGCCTTGGAGAGAATTTTCTTTGACACTCTGGCATCAAATCCCATAGGGTCAACATTCCAAGTTTCAAAGGAGGGAACGCTGCCCTTGGTGATCTGACTTCAATGGAGGGTCATCCACCACTTCTTATACAAAATCTCGAAAATCAGAACGGGCCTCGCTTAATAATATACCAACCTATATCAGGCTCATTGGGAATCGAGGTCTTGCTTTTCTTTTTGGTAGCAGGCAAAGTCTGATAGTGCCTTTGTCCTATTGGCTCATCATCTGGTATTGCTGTGAGGTCATGCATACTGAAACTCCGCAACTTCTCTGTGATTGCTCCTTGACCCTGTAGTATTGAAGAGGAAAAATGAGATGCCATTCAGTGGGAGGAAGGAATCCTTTGTCCAAACCGATATACAGTCACGTGAAAAAGAGTGCATCTCACTGAAAAATTTTTGTCTTGACTTTTTCAACACATTTTTACATACAGCTATTTGATCTTCATTTCAACAATATTGATAAATGAGACGAATGTGCCAAAATACATCCCAAAGATATTAAAAGAACAGGAAACTGCAAAAGAAAACACAGCCAATAGTAGGTATCCATCAGGCCTTGAAGGAGCAACAGCACACTTCCCGCCCCCGCCATGCCCCATACACCTATCATTATCCTGGAAACAAAAGAAGCCACACCCTCTGTGAGGCAGAGTATCTTTACTGCTACAGTGTGGTATTGATTATTCAATGTCCTCTATGGAGTGAAGCACTGCCTTTGCCTAAGTAAAGAACTTATGTTGACTGTGTTTTCTGTTGTCTGTAATGGCAGCAGTTTCCTGCACTTCAGGCATGAGCTAGGAAGCACTGGCAGGCAAGCAACTACGGCGGGCGGAGACTAGGGAATGTGGTCTGGCAAGCACCGAAGGCACAGCAGCAGGTCATAAATGCAAGCAGAATCAATTTTTTTATCTTATGACCCAAAGTCTTCAGTTTAAGAAATGGTGTCAAAGTCCATTTTTTTCAGTACTGTTTTCAGTACACATGCATATTTCAGTACACACTCTGCTAAACAAATAATTCCCTCAGCACTGTTCAACTATTTACAAAGTCTGCAGTATTATTACTGTTAATCTTCTCATCACTCCTGATCACCCATCCCCTCCCACTTGTGATTGTAGGACTGTAACTTTGTCTCTTGTATCCTTAAGACTTATATTGACTGTTTCCTAGTATGATTCGATTGCTTGTTGTACCCTATGACTATCATTAAGTGTTGTATCTTATGATTCTTAACTCTTGACGAATGTATCTTTTTCTTTTATGTACACTGAGAGCATTTGCACCAAGACAAATTCCTTGTGTGCCCAATCACCCTTGGCCAATAAAGAATTCTATTCTACTCTATAAGCCCATCTGCAGATAAAATATGGGTCAGCTTACCTGCAGGTGGTACATTTTTCATGGCGTTTTGATTAAAAATGTGAGAGTCAGCTTATATATGAATATATATGACTACATTGGACTTTATTAAAGATTTGGTTTCTAACAGTTTGCAATACCAATTCAAAATATATTGTACCAAATGATAAAAGTTACTTACCTTTAGCATACAATTGACCAAACTTTTCAAATGTTAGGTTAAGAACTATGTTTAGCATAACTATTTAATTCAAATTGCACTGGGAAATCATTATCTAATATAACATCAAAAAATGTCACTTTGCAGGGGAAATGGGTGGCATAAAATTTTAGTAAATGGGTGGCATAAACATTAAATAGAATACGCATAAATGAATATAACTCTAACCCTAACCCAAATATGAGAGAATGCCTAATAATAATTAACTAATTAAAAAAACCTGCGCCACATATATTTTCTGGACAGGAAGATTCTATGGCAAATTTAAAAAAATGTGACTAACATAAATATGTGATAAAAATATAGCAGTATGTCCAGGAATAATGTTAGATACATACAATAAACTTCATGATGACCCAATGAATTTTATTCCAATTCTAACGTATTATGTAGTTTAAATGGCAGAAGAACACTCTGTATGGAATAGAAATAAGGCATATGCAAAGAAAAAAAATAACGTAATTCTTGTATTTCTCATTTAATGATTAGTAGATTTTAAGCTGATATTGCAATAGTTTAGGAAAATCACTTAAAATTTCTGATTTTTTAAAATCACAATTAAGCAAAATGGATGAGTATAATGTGAATCAGGAGTCTACAGCTTATGACTCTGGATTTATATATATTCATCCATTTTGCTTAAATGTGATTTTAAAAACCAAAAAGGTTTAAGCCTAAACAATACACTACAATAGGTTCTAGTTTCAAAATGTAATAGCTGCTTTTCCTACAACGTAGTGAGCCCAAATGGCGAAACCAACCCCACCCTTTTTGTTTCAGCCAAATTATATAACTGAATAAGCCTGGGTCATTGCACATTAAAAAAAACTCCTAAGCCTCATATAAATGAATATGCTATCAGCTACAGTTAAAGAAAGAAATGACGTAAAACAGGAGTCGCCAACCTTTTGGACCTCGGGGACCACCAAACTCATAATTTTAAATCCCGGGGACCACTAATATGAATTTTGACAGATGGTGGCTTGCTGACATTGGAGGGAGAGAGAGAGAAAGAGATCTGATCTATCCTCTCTCCCTCCCTCCCTCTCTCTTACACACACACACACAAACACACAGAGGCAGGGGTGGGATTCAAATTTCTTAACAACCAGTTCTGTGGGCGTGGCCTAATTTGTGGGTGTGGTTTGGTAGTCATGTGACTGGCTGGGCATGGCTTGTATGTAAATATTATAAATATTTATGTAAATATTGAATGTTTTTATAAAAAAAGAGCAAAGTCAGGCAAAGCAGGCAGGCAGATCGAGTTGTTCACAGAATCACAGATTCACTCAGATCTATTGTTCTGCCATTGGCTACCTGAGTCTGTCACATAAAATTTGCTTGCAAGCAAACTCATAACATTTGTAAAGTAAAAGCCTCCCTTGGAGGCCTGAACTGGCAATAATACAGAATTCCAATAAAACCATGCCAACAAGCTACAAAATAGTATTAGTGTGGGAGCGTCCTCAAGCAGCTCTGCAAGGAACATAATTACATGTGGATAAGTTTGTATAAGCTTGCTGTATGTATTAAGGGAGAGTCTTCTCAGCAACTGAACAAAATTTACTTGTTTAGATTCAGAACCCCTTTAAGTAAGAAAAAACTTCTGAGTGAGTCCCAAGAAGATGCCTGTTATTGTTGGATCCGGCTTGGGCATTTTACAGAGCACTGTGTGATCTCACTTTTCTCTTTGTAAGCAATTTAAAACACAACTTGTTTGCAAATGTCAATTCCCATCAATATTAAGCTAGGTTTTTTTGCAGGTTACAATTTATCTGAAATTCTAAGTGAGTGTTTCTATATTTATCATTGTAAACAACTGTAGGGTGATAATTTAGAACTGAATTTCTCTTTCCTCTATAAAGGTTAGATTTTTTTTCTCCAATATACCCTCCAAGATTAATTAAATTCAACTCCTAAATCCATAATTTAGTATGTAAATTGAGCCTTATTCAAATTATGCCTCTTTTAATGTCTATTCTGTAAAAGCCAAGCACCATATTAAAAGCCTGCCTTCATTAATTTATGTACTAATCTATTAGCCATCCTCTCAATTCTGCCTAAAAGAAATTTGGTTTAACATAATCCCAAATGTAAAGGGCTGAGTGGAGTCATTTTTTTTCTTTTAACTGTTCAAATAACTACTTATTAGAGGTATGTAGTCATCTTAACACAGCTCTAATCCATAGCACAAATGCTGACTATCGTACCTTTGTTCTTGAGAATAAAAGCTAATATCGGCAATTGTAATTATTAGGTAAACATGCACACATTTAAAGTATTTAGTAAGAAAGCAAGATGAGAAGTTGTTCTGATAGCTTTAATCTCTGGAGGTCACCCTGTTTGAAGTAAAGGAAATGAAATGTTTCCACAGCAGGCAAAACACCACGGGAAACCATAAACAAGCCACATCATTTGTGTTCTCTTGGTCTCTTAATTTAGTTGCTGCTCAATTTAAGGATGCAATTGAAACAAACTATTCAATAGTTTGCATCTTTCAGGAGATATTTCTGACTGAAAATCAGTTTCACAATTTCACATTGAGAAAAATAGAATAAAACAAATAAACATGGGTTTGGTCAGCATGAATAATGTGATGTGGAAACTCTGGCATTACAAAATTGAGATTTCTCATCATGGAAATGCTCGTAGTAAAGTGAATTGATGAAAATTTGACATAAGATGAACAAGCAAGATGAAATAATTCCATCTACTGTTAAAAGAAGCTAAACTACTGCAAAGCTGTTGTAAACTGATCAGCATTAGAATCTGGTTTCTTCTGTCAATAGCCCTGTTTAAAGCCATAAACAATCCTGGTTCATGGTTCTTTTTTAAGCTGTGGTAACGTGCTAAGCTGTTTGTTACTATTCTCCTCTTGCAGAAATTGCTATCAGACAACTTGTGTAAACTTCTGTCTTCACAATAAACAATTCTGAAGAACTGAGAATAATTTTATTATATTATGTGGAAAATAATAGTTTCATTGATCAGATGTTCACTTTAGCACTTAAGGTAATATAATCTGAAGGAAAGCAGACATCTAAACTGTGGTTTCAGGAAACCTGGAAGTTTAATTATGCAACTTACATACCTTGGTCCATATTTCCCACTGCCTTCCCCACCTTAATGGGCAAATTCTGCAGAGTATTTATCAGAAGAGACTTTCTAGGAATAAGCAGCTATAGCTTATATCTTGGGAACTTGAGTAGCCAGAGAATATTCCAGCAATAATCACAAACTACTTACATTTTTACAAATATTTCATTTTATACTGACTAAAGCGATCGCTGCTACTTTATAGAAACTGCTTGGCAACTTCTACTGACACGTACATGAGTTAGCCCACTCCTCAGTTTCGTTTTATGTGCATCAATGATGAAGTGTAGTCAGAAATGGTGTAGGGTCTCCCGCTTGGGCGGGGGGTTGGACTAGATGACCTATAAGGTCCCTTCCAACTCTGATTATCTGTATCTGTATCCTAAATTAAAATAGATAATTATCTCTGGACTTTTGCTGATATGAAATGAATGACAAAGATTTTAGATTTTGTTTTTAGCTAAGAGATGAGACATGGGGTAAAGAGAGAATATATTATGTTTTAAGAGAGAGTGATAAGTTACTAAAATTGTTCATACTTAGTTATTTTTTTTCTTTTTTACACATTTTATTGGTTATTTTATATTTTATTAGTCTAGTATATTAGTTTTTATTTCAATTTATAATCTTTGATAAAATTATTTCAAAAAATGATAAAGGATAGCCCTAATATATGATGCGTATACTTTGCTATCAAGAACAAATTCTACTTGTAGAACAAATTGTATTTTCCATTCAAAATTATTGTAAAAGCGTATGCTTATGCAGCTTCCCTATCTTTTGTCACTGCGATCTCATTATACTCAATAAGTATTCTGAATGTAAAAATGGAGACACCTTGTATTTTAGGCAAATTACAGATAATTAGGAACATGTCTGAATCCATGTGAAAAGCCCAATTTGGCTGTCTACTAATATCAGACAGCTGTAAGCATCAGCAATTAAATTCATCAATTTAATTTTTTTTCTTACAAATCTGAATTCATTAGGGAATCATATTAATATCCCAGTCAACCATACTGATCACTGTTTCATGCTTTAATCTTCCATGAACATTTACCTCAACTTGATCGAAGAACAGCAGAAAGAAGTCAGAAATCCTGTGGAATGTGATTTACCACCAAGAAAAGCAACAAGAGAGAAAAAAGAGTCATCTTCACTGTTTAAAAAATCAACTCTTGTTTGAGAGAACATACTTTTTAAAATATGCTATTAGAAAAGGTTATCCAGCTTTTCGCCTCATACCTTTCTGAACACACAACCCCACTTACCTATTTTATGCTAAGTAGTAAATGCATAACATGCAGTACTGTTTACCTTTACAGCTGCAGTCACTGCAGCAGCAGCAGCTAAGTTTAAGCCTTGTTTACCAAAATTCACCATTGTTTCATAACTACGTTCTTTGGCTTGCACAATGTACTCATCAATCTCCTAGAAAGAAAAATATGTGTAGTACAGATATTAATTTAAACTGATATTGGCACGAAGCACAAGATAGTAATGCCATTCTTCATCCCCACTACCGCTTAATGCAAATTTATTGTCTAAAATATCAAAATAAATATTTGCTCCACAACAGAAGGGAGGCTTACCCTTTCTTTTGAAGAAAGAAGAGGATGAAGAAACTTCCTATATATTAAACTTGCCCCTCTTGTATATGGAGACAGCAACCAAACAACAAAAGCAATCTTCAGTTCATAATATAGTGGAAACCTGTAACATAGAATTCATAATGTGGTTATGTGATACAAAGAAATAGGCACGTTCCTTATAATTAACCTAAGTTTCAGGGGAAGTATTTTTAGGTAATTTTTCACATATTTCAGATATGCTTTATATAAATGTAATAGTATTCTTGTAATCCCACCTTTCCTAGAAATCTAGCTAAAGAGTAAAAAGCTAAACAGTATCAACAACCAGCAATGAACACGGTGATACAGGAAAAACATAAATAAATAATCATGCTTTCCAAATATACAGATCTTACCAAGAGATCAAGAGGTCAGTTAATGTTTCAGTAAACGTATAAAGAGCGAACACAATCCAATACATCATCCACCGCACCTAAGAATGAAAAATGCAAAACAACCATTTTAGTTTCTACAGATTAGAAAAAGGAATAGTTATATTTTAACAACTTAAAATATGTAGATGCTATTTATTTTTATGCATTTTACAAAAATGCAAACTGAAGTACCATATAGTATCAGAAAAACATAAACGATCTTTTAATTTTCTATCTAGTCCGTCTATCCAAGTAGTTCAAATCAAATTCTGCTGACAATTTTAGACAAAGAGCTGCTGTTAACACGGCTATCAGTTAAATCATTTAACAGAATTATAAATTTTAAGAGGTTCTTATATCTCAGAAACCATCTAGTTTAATTCTTTTTTAATGCTGGATCTGCTTAAATACTTTGGTTCTTGGACATTTGGTTCTCTCTAAAAGCAACGACGGACAAAGTCGCTTCCTTCTCTATACAAACACCCTTAGTAAGACATCTGAAGTTAGCTCATCTCTCTCCTCAGTCTTCTGTTCTCCAGGCTAGGTATACCTGATCCCTTTAATAATTTCCACGGGACTTGGTTTCCAGTTCCCTCACCATTCTCACAGCCAGAATACAATACTTTATTTGGCCAAATGTGATTAGACACACAAGGAATTTGCCTCCAATGCAGAAGCTATTGGTGCAGATTGATGGCACGAGAGAAAAAAATGTCCCTTTGTCGGGGACAGTGTTTTGGCATGCAAAACATTTTATCAATGTTTTTATTGTTATTTTTCCGCTTAAAAGATTTCAGTTTGTTTCTCAACTGAATTGTACAGCTTACCCGTTATATTAATGGTGGGGAAAAATCTGAAGTGATTTCTCTTGGTCTTTTTCATATCTCAAAAGCCTGGCATTTAAACAGATGTGTATACTTTTTATATGCTATAGGGAGCAGCATAGTAACATATGGCTTAGAGTTTCTACTGAGCCACCGCACACATTTCCCTTGGAGAAAAAAATAGGCTGTCTTTTAAAAAACCAGAGACACTAAGAACAGAAAATGGGATTCATTCCACACCAGCCTCAGAACAGACTGTATCTCCAGGCATCTCTTGGGAAACCCGGGACTGAGAAGGGATAGTGGTTATCTTTGACAAGATAGGTAAATATAAAACTAGAATTGCTGCATAAGATTATTTTTTATGTTGTGCTGTATATTTAAATTTTAACATTTTGTCTTTAGAATTTTCTGAGACTTCAATCATGCATGTTTGCTATTTAGAATTTCCTTATCATGGTGCTATCCCTAAATAAAAAGTAGCAATACCCTGTGGTCTGCCAGATTTTTCTAGTATTTCTTGGCATTCATATGATTAACAGTTATTTAAGAGAGTGGGAGGGAGGAAATAATATAGCATTTACATTATTACTACCTTTATTATTACAATCAATAATTCATATATAAGCATAAAGCCATATAAAAACAAGGACAATTGAAACAGTAACAACACAGACCTTAGCACTGTGCTAGTAATACCACAGTTGGAATTGAGAGTAAGACCTTCATATAGTAAAGGTCTATTCACCTTAACAGTTGAAATTCCACATTTCTTTGTAGATATTATGACATAGTCAGTATTATGATATAGTCAATAGTTTCAATCTGCTTTGAGCCAGAAAGGAAAACTTGAGTCAGATAGAAGATTTTAGAATATTTGTGTAATAGAAGTGCTGATGGTAACCCATGAAGACATATCTGAAAGAAGCCATGACTCAACCTGGGGAAGGTGAAAGTTGTTAGATATTTGGCCAGCATCCAAGGCCTACTTGATATTCAGGTTCTGCTGTTATGTGGCGTCTTACTGACTTCCAGCTGTTACTTCATTATTATCAACTTTCAGAAAGGATGACCTTTGCATGAAGAAGAGTTAAAATGAATACATCTGGGAGGCTGGACTCCACAGCATACCCCTTGCTAGGAGAATGGTCCACCATCAATACAAGGATCCAGTGGGGAAGAGCTGGGTATTTAGTCAGTAACCGATTATTATCCTCTAGGACAGGGCTGTCAAACGGGTACATCACGTTCTGGCCACGCCCATGCCCCGTTTAGCAAAGGGGGAAAAGTCCTGATACGTCACGTGAAGCTGCTGTGTGACAAAGTGAGTTTGACACCCCTTCTCAAGGCTATAACCACTGTTTAGGCACTCCTGCCTGAAGTCCCTGAGAGTGGCATTGGCTTCAAATAGCAAGAATAGCTCTCCAAAAATTCATGTGCACCATTTCCATTGTCTTCCTCATGGCACAGATTCTCACAGGTAGTCCTGGGAAGATCAGAACTATTTGGGACTCAAAGAGCAAAAGGAACTAATTGCATCCTTAGTGAAAATGAAGTTTCTAATGATAGAAGATGATTCTAAAATTTCCTGAGAGTAATCATTATGATATGCCTTCTACAGGATTATTCTTTGGTGTCAAAAATTACTCTGAGATAGTTACGGCTGTGACTCTGCTCAATCTCATTTACCTTTGTAACCCACGTTTTCTCCTTGCTCCTTTCCCCAAAAACATGATTTGGGATTTTTATAGGTAAGTCTGAACCGGATTTGTTCACTTATACCAGACGACTGATCTCTTGAGAGTCTAACTTGAATTTGAGATCCAGTGGCGGCAGCACCTGCACATAAACATCTCTAACAGGAGAGTTTCCTAAAGGTATCTTCTTCTGCTCAAGTAGGCAGGAAAAGATTCACCCCACTCTTGTCCTATTCAAGAATAAGAACTTTTGTTCTTGTGGAAAAGCTCCAGGAAAAAAAGAACCAGAAGGTGTCTTAAGCAGGGAGGCAAACAGAAAGCCAAGATACTGCTCCACCCTTAGATTTATGCTGGAATTTGCCTGGAGACACATTTCCCAGGCTGTATATTGAACTGGATATTCTCTTGAGCAGCATTTCTCAACCTTGGCAGCTTTAAGATGGGTGGACTTTGATAGCTGAGAAACACTGCTCTAGAGAAATAGGATAGACGTTAATTAATGTAGAGTGGGAACTCTGATTTGTCTATTTTGCATTAATTTAGTTTAGTTTATTGTCATTGCATCTCGTACTAAATTAAATACCATCTTCAGTGTACATTATGACTGTGAAAATAGACACAAACTGTTGTGGTTACCATAATTTTCCTAATCAGAAGTACTCTTAATTATTAATTATATAGTATACCACCAGATTAAAAATGAACAGAAAAATATCAGATATGGAATCTGAATTTAAAATCCTTCCATAGGTGCATTAAATCTTAAAAGCTGCACAATATTACTTATTGAATAAATTAATTAATGAAAGCTTAATGCTAATTGTATAGGGTTAATTTGAAGCAATTATGTTTTAGTTAGCAATATGTAGACTGAAAAGTCAACTTATTGGTAGATCCAAAATTATTCTGTGAAAAGTATTTAAATGTTTTGCCATGTAAAAAAATTCATAATATCCTATTTTTGATACATCTGTATATTATCTTGAAATAAATTCATTCACCTTGTTCTTAAAATTTCTCAGACTTGAAATAATAAGATTGAATAGAAAGTCAAGGATGTGATGAAACGTTAGATTAATCACAGAGTTGTATTGTATTTTCAGCCTCAGTGAATAGCCAAATTAGCATAAGTGCCAGCTAAAACAACTATTGATTGTCTTACGTTAAAAACTGACCTTCATATGAACCTTCACAGAATGAGCATAAGCAAGGAAGAAGGTATAGGGAAAAGGAGAGAGACAAAAGGCAGCTCAACTTTAAACTTAAACTATGTGGTTTCTGGCACTTGCAGATATGAAAGAGTCAATGTATCTTGTAATTTAAGGAAAATACAGATTATTTGTTTCTTCAATTCTAATTTCTTTGTCCTATGAATTTTGGCTGAAGAATAAGAAAGAACTGCTGTAAAACTGAAAGTTACATACATGTGATTTTCTGAAAGGCCATTATACACAGTTTAAAAATGACCTTAATGAAATTAGTATAGTTTATATGTCAGGTGTCAAACTTGCAGCCCATGAGCTGGATGCGTCTCACCCTGGCCACCTGCAATCCCTGGTTTAGCGAAGCAAAAAGTCACAGTGATGTGACATCACCAGTTTGACACCTGTGGTCTACGTGAAGTACATTTCATTTTTTTAAAAATAGATTTTGTATTTAAATTTTATTTTAATTCTTGTCAGCTGCCCAGAGTTGCATTGGTGAGATGGGTGACCATATAAATGAATATACATTTTCAAAAGAAAATCTATAATGCATAGAATTCTAAAAATGGTTTACTTAAGAAATGGAATTGCTGTTATATACGGTTTTCTGATATTTAGATACTTCTATATGTTGATAGAAAAGTCCATATTTAAGCAGCAATGAAAAAATGAAACATTGGATTCTGATCAATTACAATTTATTATATTTCTTCAGCCTCCCCCCACTCTCCAAGCAAGAATAGAATAGAATTTCTTTATTGGCCAATTGGACACACAAGGAATTTGTCTCTGGTGCATCAGCTCAGTGTCAGTGGTGGGATTCAAATATTTGGGCGCGGTTTGTGCACATGCACACACTTTGCATGCATGCGTGTACCAAACACGCACTTTGCGCAGGCGCAGAGGCGTTTGTTCAGGCGCAGAGATGTTCTAACTGACCTCTTGCAAGCCTGCACGATCCCGGTCGCTTCAGCAGCTGCCACGCGGCCCTCTTCTGCACCACGCAAAGCAGCTGTGCATCAAATTCAGAGGATAAAGGGGAGTATGGGACCCCAGGCGGGTGGGCAGGCGGGCCCAACAGCAGAGGAGAGCCACGGAGAGAATCAGTTCGGTCTCCACTGCTCATCACTGCTATCGGCTCGGCAGAACCGGGCCGAACTGGTAGAATACTACCACTGCACATTGTATATATAAACAGCAAGTAATGATGTAACAGTCAAGCCACAGGAGATTTGAAGAGCCTTCTGAACTAGAAAAAAGCACACCTGGTACAAGAAACATTTAACAGCTGCTCATTGAACAGGAACTGTGAGTCCAGGAAACTCCCAGATTG